GTATATGTAACATAAATGTCCCACCTCGGAACCTAAGATCCTCTGGGGAGGCCCTGCTCTCGACCCCGCCTTTATCACAAGTGAGATTGGCGGGGACGAGGAGCAGGGCCTTCTCGGTGGTGGCCCCCCACCTGTGGAATTCACTCCCCGGGGAGATTAGATCGGCAACATCCCTTCTTTCATTTAGGAAAAAGTTGAAAACCTGGATATGGGACCAGGCATTTGGACACCCTGGCAGCTAAAGAAAGACCTGATGACGAGCTGGAATCTGACGAGACGGAATGGATTTACGAAACTCCGAACGCTGAGCTCAGGATTAGTCTACTATTGTGTTATTGTATTGTTGTGTATTGATGATTTTAATTTTTAATTTGTAACTGCTTATATATGTATGTATATGTGACAAAGGCATCGAATTGTGCCTTCCTCTGTAAGCCGCCCTGAGTCCCCCCCTGGGGGTGAGAAGGGCGGGGTAAAAGTGACGGAAATAAATAAATAATAAATAAATAAATGGATTTTATGTTTAGACTTGCTGCCCATCTCCAAGATATCTCATTATGCACATATATGCAAAGACAATTGTTCCAAAATGAAAAAAAACACCCCAAAATATATCTAACATCAAGTATTTTGAATAAAGGACACTCAGCTCGTAACATCTATCTCATATCATTTTCTGAAACAGCACACCAAATAACCCCAGGAACAGGCTTAAAAAACCAAGACACACAAAAAATGTTTTGTTGTTGTTGGACTGTGCAATAGATTGTAAGCCCGAGAACAAATTAATGTGCTGTAAACCGACCTGAGAGTGTTTATAGCTGAAGTGCGGGGTTTAAATGCTCTAAATAAATAAATAAAAACCTGTAGGTTACAAGTCTATATCCTTGAGCTGTAGCTGTAAGCGGTGTTTATAAAATCATTCTCATCCAAATGTTAACCCATTTTGGAATCCAATATATTTGATATGGTTTTCAATTCCTTCACAGTGAAATCCTATGTGTTCCAACTCAGAAGTTCTCACAGGTTTAATAGAACTGAGCACCCTAGGTAGTGAAGGACAACACTCATAAGATTTTTTCTCCAGTTTGTCGACCACACCAAAAACGTGCAAAGATATAGACATTGGTAAAGCGCTATAAACAATCCTGATGTTTGTTCTGTGCTACTGGTCAGCCAAAAATGTGTTCAAAATATACACTGGCATTGCAATTACATAGTGAACAAGAGGAGCTATGTCAGTGGAGGGAAGAGGGACATCTTGTGGCCACTTCTCCTTCTGGTTCACCATCAAACCAACAGATTTCTGGCTACCCTCATAGGACTCCATCAGGTCATGTCTTAATGTCAAGTCAGGCTAAAAAGAGATGTTTGATCCTGAACAACCACTCACCTTGAATGTGTAACTAAAACCTGGTTAACTAAAAAGGGGTTGTGTGTTAACTTGACCCAGTTATGTCCACCAGATTTTTGATTGCAGCAGCAGCCAAGATGTGAACGTTGGGGAACTATTGGGGTACCTTGTTAAATGATCTCCAAGATGGGAGTATATACAGGCAATCCCCGAGTTACAAACAAGATAGGTTCTGTAGGTTTGTTTTTAAGTTGAATTTGTATGTAAGTCAGAACAGGTACATTTTTAAGTGTAGATCGATCGATCGATCGATCCATCCATCTAATAGGTGGATAGCATAGGGAAGACTGATGGCCCCTGTGGTGTTTGTCTTGCTATCTGTGCCCGTTAAGATTTATGGCCCAACTTACCTGTTCCAACATATCTCCCTCTGTATTGTCGAAGGCTTTCATGGCTGGAATCACTGGATTGTTGTAGGTTTTTTCGGGCTATATGGCCATGTTCTAAAGGCATTTTCTCCTGACCTTTCGCTGCATCTATGGCAGCATCCTCAGAGGTAGTGAGGTACCTCCGAGGATGCTTGCCATAGATGCAGGCGAAACGTCAAGAGAAAATGCCTTTAGAACATGGCCATATAGCCCGAAAAAACCTACAACAACCCATATCTCCCTCTATCTTCTGGGGTGGCTCTATTCTCAGTTCCACCTCCTTTGCAGGGGCAGTTGGTGGGGAAGAAAGACAGGGCCTAATCAGTGGTGACCCCTTGTCTGTGGAACTCCCTCCCCAGTGATCAGCTCCTTCCCTTCTGGCCTTCAGAAAAAAGTAAAAACATGGCTATGGAACCAAACCTTTGGATAGTAATTGTAGTGCAACAAATGAATACAGAATTTGTGCAATGACAACTGGAATGGCTCTAGATTATGATCTTAGGCTGCGTGGTTTTTAATAATTGGTGTAATGTTAGATGTTTTAATTTTTTGGTTTTAATGTAAATGTTTAATTATATGTTGTTTTTATGGCAATAAATTGTTGCCGACGTGTAAGGCCACTCTTGAGTTTCCTTGGGGTGAAAAGGGTGGGGTACAAATATGGTAAATAAATAAATAATTTTCACCTCATTTTCTGTCTCTGTAAGAACTGGATTTTGGAAAACGTAGCTTCTTGTGAAAACAAGAATTGGTGAGAAAGTTTCAGTGAAGACACCTTTTCCCCATGCTAAGAGGTAGATATCTTTCATTTCCTATTGTCTCAGCCTCGTTCTTCATTATGAGTCATTTGTAATTTGGATGTTTGTAACTTGAGGACTGCCTGTATCCCTGTCAATAGGGCATATTAAAAGGGTTTGAATGAACAAATCCAGGTTTCCTGGATGAACAAACCAGTTTTCTCAAATCCTTTTGGTTTTCCAGCTCCTAAAGTTGGTAATTCTGTTGATGTGCTGGTCAATCTGCAGAACAGGGAGATGACTTGGGTGACTGACACTTTAACTGGAAGCAGAAAATGGACTCCTTGATTTTCTGAGGAGCTCTTGGCTATGAAGTGTTTGGATAAATGACTAAAGTGATTGTGGAGAAAGACGCGGGATGAACCCAACAGAATGTTGTTAGAACCTACTTTGCAGCAGTCAGGGCAGCAAAGAAATTATTCTGTGCCAGAGAGAGCTCTTGACAGTGTTGCAAAAGCATATAGCTGCGACTTCCTCATGGAGTGGCCCTCCCCTGCGCTCCCCAATTGCCCATCCAATGGCAGTGATGACACATATCTTGGTATTCAATGATCTGTCTTTGCACTTCACAATCTTACTTAGTTCTTTCACGTCTGCCCTTCCAAGTCTTAGACTTCTGATTTATTGACTACCATACCCATTTTGATTTGTGAATCAGTCAAGGCAGAGAACATCTTTAATTATATTGATGTCTTCACCACCCACTTTAAAGTTAAGCAAATCATCTCATGTCATTGGTTTTGTTTCCTTAATGTCCAATTGAATTCCAGCACGAATTCCTAATATGTTAGGTCTGTTCTTAGTTGGAAGCAGGGTACACAGCTGAATCTCTTATAAAAACACAACTTTAAGATTGCCCACGCTTGTCATCATCTGTCCAACTAAGGTTAAGGTGGATTGGAGGAGAATGAAAGGAAACCATTCTGTAGGAGGTAGTGAGGATGCTTGCCAAACATGCAGGCGAAACGTCAGGAGAGAATGCCTCTAGAACATGGCCATATAGCCCGAAAAAACCTACAACAACCCAATGATTCCAGCCATGAAAGCTTTCAACAAACCATTCTGTACTCTCCAAGTCTCCTGATTTGGCATAGACAATCCCAATGAACCCTGTCATCCTATTTTCTCGCATGTTTTTAAAATGTCAATAGCTTCTCCACCTCCCAACTTTCCCCCTTTGTTTTCAGCTAATTTCATTTACAGCACAAAGAGTTCAAAGCGCAAAAGTAATTTGCCATCAATGAACTCATCAGGACAAAAGTGACTGAATGTTGCCCTTCCCAGTAGGCAAAAGCAAACTCCTGTAGCCTTTCCTTAGAATCAAAGAGTTGGAAGAGACCTTGTGGGCCACCCAGTCCAACACCCTGCCAAGAAGCAGGAAAATTGCACTCAAAGCACCCCTGACAGATGGCCATTGAGCCTCTGTTTAAAAGTCTCCAAAGGAGCCTCCATCACACTCTGGAGCAGAGTTCCACTGATGAACAGCTCTCACAATCAGGAAGTTCTTTTCCTTTCCTGGAATCTCCTTTCCTGTAGTTTGAAGCCATTGTTCTGCGTCCTAGTCTCCAGGGCAGCAGAAAACAAGCCTGCTCCCTCCTCCCTATGACTTCTCACATATTTATACATGGCCCTTATCATATCTCCTCTTAGCCTTCTCTTCTGAAAGTTACATATCCAGCTCTTTAATCAGCTCCTCATAGGGCTTGTTCTCCAGACCCTTGACAATTTTAGTCACCCTCCTTTGGACCCCTTCCAGCTTGTCAACATCTCCCTTCAATTGCGGTGCCCAAAAATGTTCACAGTATTCAAAGTGTGGTGTGACCAAGGCAGAATAAATGGGCAGCATGACTTCACTGAATCTAGACGCTATATTCCTATTTATGCAGACCAAAATCCCATTGGCTTTTAAAGCTGCCGCATGACATTGTTGGCTCATGTTTAACTTGTTGTCCACAAGGACTACAAGATCTTTTTCACATATACTGCTGTCAGGCCATTCTGTATCTTTGCATTTCATTTCTTCTGCCTAAGTGGAGTATCTTGCATTTGTCCCTGGTTTACTTCAGTTTGTTAGTTTTGGCCGTTCATCTGTCTAATCTGTTAAGATAATTTTGAATTCTGCTTCTGTATTCTGGAGTATTGGCAATCCTTCCCAGTTTGGTGTCATCTGCAAACTTGATGATTATTGTTTGTAGGTTCCTCCTCATTAATAACTTTTGCTAGTTTATCTTTCTTGGTTGTCATCTGCGAAATGTTGGAGAGTATGATTATTAAACCCACCCCAGAACATAATTTTAAAGAGAAGCTGCAGAAGCATTAAATGATTTCATACGATATTATTTCTGTGCAGGTTTTTTTTTCCTTTTTATATATAAACAGAATTATTTCCTACTTTTCCAACAATCAAACTCCACAAGTGAATTCATTAATCTTCTTTTATATATATATTTATATATACCATTTGCTTTTTTCCCTTGATTTAAACCTCTTCCCTCCTCCTCCTCCTTACATTCAAAAGGCTTGGAGCAGGACTGAATAGTACAAAGAATTGCTACAAATCCAGCTGCAATTCTGGATTATTATTATTATTTTTGTTGGGGTCTGGTATATATAGATATTTCCTTTTTTAAAAAAAAACAAACCTAAGGTACTTGCTATTACAATAAAATTATTTATCATTTTAGCAACAATTTCTCTTATTTTTCTTTTCTTGGAAGTGTGGGGTGGGGAGGGGAGGGGGGGGAACACAAAATATTGGAGACTACGACTTTTTAAAAATGCATCTCCTGATTCTTTCGTTTCGACCTGAAATCCTAAAACACTGCTGGAGTTTAATTAAAAAATTACATAATATCAAAAAACACACAAAAAGCAACCCTGTTGTCAATTCAATCCACCACTAATTTTTTTTTTCCTAATGGCCTGGGTTTCCACTATCATACAAACACCGTACCTCTATACAAACGCACCTCGAAACTAATAAAATAAAAGAATACTTACAAGGAGAGAAAGAAAGGGAAGGAGGGATGAGGCTGAAATAGGCTTTGGGATTATTTTCCACTGTGCCTTTAAAAAAAAACACACACAAATTCTGATGTGGAAAGAGAGAAAGGACAGACACAGCTAGGAGGCAAAAATGGAGTGCCAATCTTCCACGTTTGTCACACAAAATAGACGTCAGCAAGAAGCCTTGTTGACGCAAATCAAAATTAAGCCCCAACTAACTATTGCAGAAGTCTGTCAGTGCTGAAAATGAATGCAACCCGCGCATCGGCACATGGGATGTGCAAGTTAAAGCACACCATGTATTCCAATGCAGAAAGCACACTCCTTTCAGGGCACCTTAAAGCAAGACGATTTAAGCCTTGCAGACTGCAATCCAGATCTTCTGAGAATATCTTCACAGCTGAGGGGACACAGGCAGAGAGGAAAGCCAAAAGCACTAGTTCGGTAGCCAAACCTGAGTTACCAAGCCCCTTCCCCTGCCCAGTTCATGGCCATAACCAAAATGGATCAGTCCGTCTGACGCTCGGGAGCAAGACTCGAAACTGCACAAGTCTCGGAATGGAGAGAAAACGAGATCCGACAGATTGGAAGAGCTAAAGTGGGAAATATTCCCTGGCCCTCATGATTAGGGCGGAGAGGGGCAGAAAAAGTTGGCTAGCCTGTGTTAAAAATCTACTATAAAAATGCAGATTTTTGTCTGTTTAACCTTAATATATCCTAAGGAAAGGAGGGAGGCAGCAAGGGGGAACAGGAAAGAGTATTTGGGGCAGGAAGGCAAGAGGGGTTTTGGGAGCAGTTGCAAGGACTGGGGCCAAACAGTCCGTGTGATCTGGCTCCCCGCACCACCCCCAAATGTCCCCCTCCCCTTTATTTGACCCCCATGTGAGACAAGGTTCATTGTGGGAGGGGGGGGGTCTTTTATACAAAAAGGAGCAGGAGAACCGCAGGGGGAAATCCCATATGAAGAGGCAATGGCAAAAAAAAAAACTGGGGGGTGGAGGTGGGGGCTACTGCCCCGGGGTGTCCCCCACGATCTCGATTCCGTGTTGCTGCAACTGTGCTCTCAAAAGGGCGTTTTCATTCTTCAGCTCCTCAATCTGTCAGGGGTGGGGGGAAGAGGGGAAAGAGGGAGAAAGAAAGGAAGAAAGAAAGTGTGAAAACATAGTTGAGTAGAATGTTGCTCTTTTAGGCAATCTAGGAGTGCAGTATAGAAAACCATATATGGCACAAAGCACTTATGTGCGAGGGAGATGTTCCTGAATCATGGATAATGATTTCTGCAAGAGATTACTATACAGTCATCCTGAAGGACCTAGAAAATCCCTAGAGCAGCATTTTTCAACCTGGGGGTCGGGACTCCTGGGGAGGTTGCGAGGGAGTTTCAGATGGTCTTAGGAATCCCTTCGGCAGAGAAGGCTGAAGATCTCTCCGCCCGTCCTTCTTTCTTTTTGGAAACAGATGGCGAATCCTCCCAACAAAAGCCCTCAGAATGCTCTTTGATTCAGAATGCTCTTTGATTGTATGCTCGGCGCATGGCAGCGTGGTGTGCATGTGAGGGAGAGCTTATGAGACTGGAGGGAGGCTCCTCCTTTCAAGACAGGGGGGTTCTGTGAGAGAAGTCTGGCCCAGTTCTATCAATGGTGGGGTTCAGAATGCTCTTTGTTTGTAGGTGAACTATAAACCCCAGCAACTACAACACCCAAATGTCATTTTCGCCAAACTCCACCAGTGTTCACATTTGGGCATATTGAGGATCTGTGCCAAAGTTTGGTCTAGATCCATCATTGTTTCAAGTCCACAGTACTCTCTAGATGTCAGTGAACTACAACTCCAAAAATCAAGGTCAATCCCCACCAAACACATCTAGCATTTTCTGTTGGTCATGGTATCCATGTCCTGGAACCATATCCTGGAACCATACAGCCTGTTTTGGCATCCCATGAAATCACAGTCCCTTTATTAACAATACAGATTGAGTGAGGGTCCATGGTGGCCAAAGGCTCTGGCTACCTGCTGCTGTAACAAGTCGTTGTCCATCTGCAGCCTCTCAGCTTCTTTGAAGGTTTCTTGCATGCGCTGATTCGTCTGGCGCAGCTCACGGATGTAATCACAGGCTTTGGATAGGATGCCTCCTTTGCTCTGGGGAACAACACAAGACACAGACCCTTATTGCCAGGACACCTTTGGATTGAGCAGAAAACTCAGTCCCTGTGGGTGAGAAGCCTCCAACAAAATGTCCAGACCTTCTATGTACCGATAGAAGCATCAACTATGAACATATGGAATATACAGATATTGTTTCATCCTTAATGAGAAATGGAAGGGGGAAAAAACACCTTAAAACCCCAAACAAATATAAATCATTGCATGATTTTTCATTTTTCAGGAAAGCAAATTTTTGCAAAAAAAAATCCTGCAAGATTATTTGCTCACAGCTGTTTTAGTGTAGGGGGTCATACCAACACATTTTTGTACTTATTTTCAGACAAAATCACTTTTGTACAAAAGTCTTGGGTGAAGAAGGGGATGTTAACTGTTTAGGCATCAAATTGCTGCTGACTGTGAACCGCCCTGAGTCGCCTTCAAGCTGAGAAAGGCGGAATACAAATGTGGTAAATAAGTAAATAAATATTTTTGTGCAAAATATCCCCCCCCCCCCCAAAAAAAAAAATCAGGCTATAATAGATGCCAACGCCTACTCCCAAATATCTCTCCCATTATTATTTTCTCTCTCCTTGCTGCCTTCCAATTCCCATTCCACTTACCGCTCCCGTCTTCGTATTATCTGTATTGCAATCTGGAATGATTTTTGATAGTTGGACGATCCAGTTGTTGATCTTGTCCCGCCTCCTCCGTTCAACTAGATAAAAGAGACAAGTCAGTGATCCCATGATGCATCATTCCAGCAAAAACTCCACAGCAACTCACAATTTTGGTTACAACTTGGCACTAAGAGGTTACTGTTATTGCTGCTATTATTACTATCATCTGAACCCTGCTTTTCTCCCAAAGCAATTCACAGCCTTAAAAATGATACAACTTAAAAACCTACAAAATATAAACATTAAAATAGAATTAAATCATTATTAAAACAAGTAAAAACTTTTGCAGGTCAGCTTGAGAAAATGTCATCTCTCATATTAATTTATCTGTTCCCTGAGATTTGCAGACAAGGACTCTCTGTCACTTCACATGTATATGTTACGGTAACCAATAATAGGGTCATTTAGATCATGGCATTAAAGTTAAAACTCATTATTTCACTACCAACTTACACTTATTTGTTTACTCAAGCATTTATTGATTTTGCTACCTAGAATTTAGTAAAATCCTTTAACTTAATGAGTCATTGAACATTCCATTCATTGCTATTTTAATGAACATTGTCAATTCCCTTTATTATAGACAGGTGGCATAGATAAAGCTAAAGGTTTCCCCTTGACATTAAGTCTAGTCGTGTCCAGCTCTGTGGGGGTGGTGTTCACCTCCATTTCTAAGCCAAAGAGCTGGCATTGTCTGTAGATACTTCCAAGGTCATGTGGCCGGCATGACTGTATGAAGAGCTGTTACCTTCCTGCTAGAGCGGTACCTATTGATCTACTCACATTTGCATGTTTTCGAACTACTAGGTTGGCAGAAGCTGGGCCTAACAGTGGGAGCTCACCTCACTCCACGGATTCAAACCGCCAACCTTTCGATCAGCAAGTTCAGCAGCTCAGGGTTTAATCCGCTGCACCACTGGGGGGGGGACTTATTTGTTTACCCAAGTATTTATTGCGGAGCCCCCGGTGGCGCAGTGGGTTAAACTGCTGAGCTGCTAAACGTGCTGACTTAAAGGCTGCAGGTTCGAATCCAGGGAGCGTAACATGATTTTTTTTTTGTCGTGTCAGGAGCAACTTGAGAAACTGCAAGTCGCTTCTGGTGTGAGAGAATTGGCCGTCTGCAAGGACGTTGCCCAGGGGACACCCAGATGATTTGATGTTTTTATCATCCTTGTGGGAGGCTTCTCTCATGTCCCCGCATGAGGAGCTGGAGCTGATAGAGGGAGCTCATCCGCCTCTCCCCGGATTTGAACCTGCGACCTGTCGGTCTTCAGTTCTGCCGGCACAGGGGTTTAAACATGATGAACAGCGTAACATGATGAACAGTAGCAAGGACCCTTGTCATAATGGCTTATTGTAATGTAGCTTGATGGCAAGAGGAGGATGGTCACATCATCCTTCAGCATCATGCACACCAGGAGAACTCTGGCTGGTGCAGCTTCCGGGCAAATAAGATGCATTCTAGGGGCATATATGATATGACAATGGTGCCACAATATGAATGCTAAAGTTTACAAGTCAGGTTATTTGGCTTAAAATATCATAAGTATTTATGATACCAGTGGTGCAGTGGGTTAAACAGCTGAACTGCTGATCTTGCTGATTGAAAGGTCGCAGGTTCGAACCCGAGGAGCGGGGTGAGCTCTTGCTGTCAGCCCCAGCTTCTGCCAACCTAGCAGTTCCAAAACATGCATGTGTGAGTAGATCAATAGATACCACTCCGGCGGGAAGGTAACAGCACGCCATGCAGTCATGCTGCCCACATGACCTTGGAGATGTCTAAGGACAACGCCAGCTCTTCGGCTTAGAAATGGAGATGAGCATCACCCCCCAGAGTCGGACATGACTGGACTTAGTGTTAGAGGAAAACCTAGTAAGTGCTACCTAGAACTTACTACGATCCTTTGACATTACTAGTCATTGCATGTTACATTCATTGCTGTTTTAATGAGCATTGGCCATTCCCTTTATTAAAGGCAGGTGTAGCATACACATATTAACAATCAATTCAATTATAATTATAGTTTTATCCATCATTAGAATTTTATTTACAACATCTATATAATATTATCTATATTATCGATCATATTTATTCCACATGTAACACCTATTACATTGTCTGTAATCTCTATAATTATTAATCTCCACATTATACATTCCTCTATAAATAATGAATCTATAAATAATGCATAAAGAAATATGATGAAATGGGAGTGAAGAAACCATCACAACCTACATCAGCAGTAATTATTCAATAAAAAGCACAGATGTGAAGGAAGTGCTAGGCAGACAGTGTGATTAGTGATAGGGGGCGACAGTGGAACAAAATATATCAAAAGGCAAAAATGTGTCTCTGTGAGAGTGGCAGACAGGGTTTGCACTGGCATAGACAGAGCTTTGAGCTGATAAGGACAGGAATTGCAGTTGAAGAAAGATTTGAGAAAGGAGAATAAAGGCTATTCGATTTTTCTATTGTGTTTAATAACTCTGTTCTTGTTGTTTTCAATCTGCCCCTGATACTCCATCATGTCTGAACTGGAGTCAGCCTACACAGACCAAAGCTAAAGAACCCACCACAACAACAAGTCCACACACCCGCAACATGACCGCAAGTAGCCCCAATCCATCAAGCGAAGAATTAGGGGAACAAGAGCATGGTAATTGGCAGGATTCCTAGGGGTTGGAGTTCTGGGTAGAGGGATCCATCACAACCCGGGTGCATTAAAGCAGAAAGGGCAAAGAAAACCATCTCTGATGGAAAGAACTACCATATTTACTCGAGTCTATTTACTTGAATCTAATGCACACCTCAATGTTCAAATCCCTGAAACCAAGAAAATTATCATGCATAGCAGCAAAAAAATTGAACTGGAAGACATTGGTTTTATAGATTTATATAGTTTTTATTGTTTATATGGTTTTTATGTGTTAATTTTTGCGAGGTCATTTAGCCATACAAGGCGAGCCTTATGATGTAGCCCGCCCACTGTTACTGCGACTGTGTTTATTGTAATGTTATTTTGTTTTTGTTGTTGCATTGATATGTTTTTTAATGTAATTTTGATGATGTAGCTTGTTGTTTATGTTTTGGTTTTATTTTGATGTAATATGTTGTCCAGGCTTGGCACCATGTAAACTGCTCCGACTCCCCATTGGGGAGATGGTGGCAGGGTATAAATAAAGATTATTATTATTATTATTATTATTATTATTATTATTATTATTATTATTATTATTTAATTGCTTTTAACTGAGATATGTATGTGTGAGTGTGTGTGTGTGTGTATATATATATATATACACATACACACACGGCATCTAATTGTGCCGGTTTTGTGCCACCCTGAGTCGCCTTCCGACTCAAATGGGCGACATAAAATGACCTAAATAAATAAATAAACTCTTTGTAATTTGGCAAAAAAAGATGTGCATTACAGTCGATGCCTGGTTAAAATTCTTTAAAAACAAAACCGCTTTGAGTCCCCCCAGGGTGAGAAAGGCAGTGTGTGTGTGTGTATGTATGTATGTGTGTGTGTGTGTGTGTGTGTGTGTGTGTGTGTGTATGTGTGTGTGTGTGTGTGTGTGTGTGTATATATATATATATATATATATATATTTAAAAGTGTTATAACACCAAAGTTTCTAGCAATGGATGCATCTGTGCTGTAGAATGAAACCACTTTAATTGCCTCAGTTCAATGTTATGGAAACCCGGGGGCTGTGGTTTGATAAAGTCTTAAGCCTTCTCTACCATGGAATGCTGGTGCCTCACCAAACTACAAATCCCAGCCATGGCAATGACATTAGTGATGATGTCCTTCAAATAGGAGCTCGAGGTGCTCCTGAAGCAGCTTCGCCTTTGGCTTTGGCTCAGCACTAAGGTTTACCGTATTGTGCAAATCTAATATGCGCCTTAATTTTTGCTAGGTCATTTAGCCATACAAGGCGAGCCTTCGATTGAGTAAATAGAATAAATAAACCCTCATACATCATACTGTTAAGCTTTCACATATCTATATACTCTCAAAATGTTCCACTCAGAGCTGAGAATATGTAACTTTCAAGAAATTGTTAAACTACAGCCCCCAGGGGTTGCTGTGAGTTTTCTGGATTGTATGGTCATGTTCCAGAAGCACTCTCTCCTGACGTTTCACCCACATCTATGGCAGGCATTCTCAGAGGTTGTGAGGTTTGTTGGAAATTCAGCAAGTGGGGTTTATATATATTTGTGGAATAATGTCCAGGGTGGGAGAAAGAACCCTTGTCTAATTGAAGCAATTGCGAATGTTGCAATTAGCTACCTTGATTAGCATTGAATGGCCTTGCAGCTTCAAAGCCTGGCTGGTTGCTGCTTGGGGGGATCCTTTGTTGGCAGGTGTTAGGTGGCTCTGATTAACTCTGGCCTGGAATTCCTTAGCTTTTTGAGTGTTGTTCTTTATTTACTGTCCTGATTTTAGAGTTTACTGGTAACCAGATTTTGTTAATGGTTTCCTCCTTTCATGGTCTCCAACTCCCATCATCCCTCACTACTGGCTATGGTGCTTAGGGATGATGCAGCCCATCATCTGTAAAACCCCACGTTTCCCAGGATTTATTTAGACTATTTGGGGAAGGTGATTATTCAAGCAATTGTTCAGTTTCATAATGTTGGGTTGGTGGGTCTATCTTCACTTATTAGAATCGTAAGTTTCTATGCCCCTTTAATAGCTTTGCAGATCAAAAAAACTTGCTGTCAATCAACCTGATATCTTTTTTAAAAAACTAATAGCTGGACATTTCTTTCCTAACTGAACAGGGCTCAGTTTAGAAAGGGGAAGATATGTACTGCGAGGTTCTTCTGCGCACCTTCATTGTGCTGAGCTCTTCGCCTTTCATCCCGTGGCGTCCGTGTCCCATCCATTTTCCTTCGAAGAGAAAGAAATGGGGAAATCAGAAGAGGCTTCCCATAAAACCCACTCCTTTCTTCAATGCAGGCTTTAGTAGTACATTTTAATTCCAAATCTCAGCCCTCCCCACCCCTCAAAATACAGACACTGAATCATGGAGTGAGAACATCCCCTCTGTACTCTTACTAAATTGTAAAGCAAAGAGGTATCAAAGTTTGCTAGGAGCCCCGGTGGCGCAATGGGTTAAACTTACTAGTCCGAACGCATCTCCCCTTATGAACCAACTAGGACTTTGAGATCGTCTGGGGAGGCCTTGCTCTCGCTCCCACTGGCGTCACAAACACGTCTGGCGGGGACGAGAGACAGGGCCTTCTCAGTGGTGGCTCCTCGACTATGGAACACCCTTCCTAGGGACATTAGATTGGCCCCCTCCCTTTTAGCATTCCGGAGGAAAGTGAAGACTCGGCTGTTTGAGCAAACGTTTAACAATGCAGTGTAATAGACATAGGAATATGGAAAGATTGGATGATGATTTTGGACAAGATTTATGTTTTTAATTTATTTTGCTAAGATATTATATTATATGATAATGTTTTTAAATGTTTTAGGCTGTTGTTGCCATTAAATTGTTGTCTTTCTTAACCGCCCTGAGTCGCCTGCAGGCTGAGAGGGGTGGTATATAAATATAGTAAATAAATAAATAAATAAACCCTTGTGCCGACAGGATTGAAGACTGACAGGTCACAGGTTTGAATCTGGGGAGAGCATGGATGAGCTCCGTCTGTCAGCTCCAGCTCCCCATATGGGGACATGAGAGAAGCCTCCCACAAGGATGGTAAACATCAGAAACATTAGGGCATCCCCTGGGCAACGTCCTTGTAGACAGCCAATTCTCTGACACCAGAAGAGACTTGCAGTTTCTCAAGTCGCTCCTGACATGGGATAGATAGATAGATAGCTATCAAAGTTTGCTGTAGAAGAGTAAAGAGCCCCATGAAGATATAGCCATGTACAATGTGAAGAACCATTCCAAGGCACGTTAAATGAAATAAACATATGCAGAAAGTTTTGGGGAGCTTATCTGGTTTTCAGTACAAGATCTGTTTGGAGAGGGTTTGCCATGGCCTTTCCCTTAGGCAGAGTATGAGTTGACCAAGATCATGTCGGAATCCAACTGCCCAAGTCTCAAGTCCTCAATGAGGAACAGTTTAGTTAGTTCAAACTGTTGAGGGAATTCCTTTCCCCCATGTCTCCTGTATGACAGTTTTATTTTTTTATTTCCTATATTTTTATTTTTATAGCTGGAATGTAACTAATTTTTTCTCTACTCTCTTTCCGCTCTCATTCTGAATGGTTGTTTAAAATGGATACTTTTCTACTGCAAGCTTTTTGAATCTGACTTCTGCCTCCTTACACAGCAGTATGGAGAGTATGTGCTGTGTGCTTTGAGATCTCTCTCTGCTTGTGTGTCAGGAGAGATGTAGTGACTGAGTTTTTCCCTCTCTTGAAACCTTAGAAGAGATGAGTATTAGAGTAGCTCAGACCCAGTTCTTTACTATGAAGAAATGTAGTTATTTCTTATGATGATGATGATGATTATTATTATTATTATTATTATTATTAACTTTATTTGTACCCCGCTAGCATCTCCCGAGGGACTCGATGCGGCTTACACAGGCCGAAGCCTCAAAACACAATACAGTAGAAAACATAACAGAACAATAGCAAAGCAAATCAACAATAAGCAATAACGACAATAACGATACATCAAACATTATTAAAACTGGCTCAGCCGGCGCAATGGGTACAAGAAATTAAAAGTGCTGAGATGGTAGGGGCACGTGGGATTAAAAGTGCAGTGTGCAGTAGCAATTAATTATGCTAAGGTATTATCAGAACTTGGGCGGGGATTCCTAGTCTGAAAAGGCACAGCGGAACAACCAAGTTTTTAAATTCCTTCTGAAAGCGGCAAGAGAAGGGGCCTGTCGGAGATCTTTTGGGAGGGCGTTCCAAAGTCGGGGGGCCGCCACAGAGAAGGCCCTGTCCCGTGTCCCCACCAAGCGCTATATATTTATGATTATAAATAAACCTTTTGTGATTTTTTAAGACCAGACTCTGCATGTTTGCCTATACTCTGAATTTTTTACAGCCACTTCACATGGCACTTCATGCTCTGCTCATTAATGAGCTGATGCTCAACTTTTGTAACCTGTTTGTTTTTGGATGCTCAGCTTTATTTTAGGGTAGTTTTCCCTCACCGATCACTCAGGGAGTTTCCAGGACTGAGCTCCATCTGACAGTGTCTTCCTTTTGTCTGGCATTACCTCCATGATATTGCATGCTCCATGCTCCACCCTCCTCCTGCCTGCATCATCCTCCCATGAAAAACAAAAACCTGCTTTCCCAGCTCAGCTCCTTGCCTATGGAATAGCTGCTATCAACATTCTAGGATCCACTCTGTTCTGCTTTGGGCAGACCTCACCTGGAATAACATTTTGTCCAGTTTTGGGCACCCCAATTCAAGGATATTGGAAAGCTAGATTGTGTCCAGAGAATAAAATAGTAAAAGGTTTGGAAGCCAAGCCCTATGAGGAGTAGATTAGGGAGCTAGGTGTGTTTAGCTTGGAGAAGAGAAGGCAAAGAGAAAGGGACATGTTGAAATATTTGAAGAGAAGGGAGGCAAGCTTGTTTTGTGCCACTCTAAAGGCTAAAATGGGTATGGGCAAACCCAGGCATGGGGCCGAACGCGGCCCCTTGGGCTCCTTTCTCAGGCTCTCCTCTTTCTCAACATCCTATCCTTCATTCCTTTTCTCTTTCCCCACTCCCTTCCTTCTTTCTCCATCCTTCCCTTCCACCTTTCCATCCTTCCCTCTTTTCTCACTCCTTCCCTCTTTCTCCCTCTTCCTCCCTCTTTTCTTCCTCCTTCCCTTTTGTCTTTCCTCCCTCCCTCCCTCCTTCCTTCCTTCCTTCCCTCCCTCTCATCCATCCTTCTCCTCCACCCTTTCAACCTTCCTTCCTTCTTTCCTCCCTCCATCCATTCCCTTTCACCCTCCCTCCCTTCCATCCATCTTTCCTCCCTTCCCTCTTTTCCTTCTTCCTTTTGTCCTTCCTTCCCTTCCCCCTCCCTCCATCCCTTCCACCTCTTTCTCCTTCCCTTTTGTCTTTCCTCCCTCCTTCCTTCCCTCTCATCCATCCTTCTCCTCCACTCTTTCACCCTTCCTTCCTTTTCTCTTTCCTCCCTCCCTCCATTCCCTTTCACCCTTCCTTCCATCTATCTTTCCTCTCTCCTTCTCTTTCTTCCTTCCTTCCTTCCTTCCACCGAAACATTCTGAAAAAACTTATTGATGGTGGAATATGCTGCCTTGGAATGTGGTGGAGTCTCCTTCTCTGGAGGTTTATAAGCAGCAGCTGGATGGTAATCTGTTGGGAGTACTTTGATTTTATGTTCCTCCATGACATGGAGTTCGAATAGATGATTGTTGAGGTCTCATAAAACACCATGATTTTATGTCAGATCTGTATTGTCTTCAATATATTCCTGGAGCTATACGTACGGGGAATAGGGGTGGGTACGAGGAGCGATGGTTCGTTGCGTTCCTGTCTGCAACACATCCTGTGGCGTCATCATTACATAGAATTGCCCTACAGAAAGCAAGAGGGGAAAGAGATCAACCTGCTACAAGTGGACCCTGCAGGAAAATATTCAGCTCTGCACAATGATTTACCTAGGAAAGGAGTGGCCAACTGTGGGAGGCAAGGGGGCTGCATGAGCCCCCCAGGAAACCCCAGAGGGCTGCATCCCCCCATTGCAGCCACCACCATATAAAGCAATACCCCCCTTCAAAAGGACCTCAAATGCGCCCTAGACCATTAGGGGAATTCTTACCATGTTCTGGGGGTATTCCTGGGCCATTTTGGGTCCAGGAGAGGCCTTCATTAACTACAGGAAGGAAGCAGAAGTCCCTTCCTGTTTACTTCCTTCACAAAAAAATGCCTTTCTAAGGCACAACTTGATCTAGATCATACACATACACCCCTCAAAATGATAGAAATGCCCCCTCACAGACCTAAGGGTATATTTTCAAGTAAAAAGGCTCAAATGCAAGGAAAATGCCTTCCCAAGCCCACAGAGGTCATTCCGGGAAAATTAAAAAAAAACTGTACAAATTATGCATTTTTACACTTTTGGGGGGCATATAAACTTTTGTGGTATTAAAATGGGCTGGAGGGCAAAGATGCAGCACTTGGGGTTGAGAAATAGTTTTGATTATTTTTATTTATTTATTTATTATATTTTGCATTAGGATCACAAATATGGCTGGAGAGGGGCAGCACTTTGCCTCGCCTGGACTACATCCACAGAGGATGCTGGAGCCAGCAACTCTGCAAAAGCCAGTATCTAACCAGGCTACTGGTCTAGCAAATAAAAGCAGAGAGATAGGACATTCTCTAGAGCAGTGGTTCTCAACCGTCCTAATGCCTTGACCCCTTAATACAGTTCATGTTGTGGTGACCCCCAACCATAAAACTGTTTTTATTGCTACTTCATAACTGTAATTTTGCTACTGTTATGAATCGTAATGTAAATATCTGATATGCAGGATGTATTTTCATTCACTGGATATAATTTGGTACAATTACCCGATACACCCAAATTTGAATACTGGTGGGGTTGGGGGGAGGAATTGATTTTGTCATTTGGAAGTTGTAGTTGCTGGGATTTATAGCTCACTTACAATCAATTAGCGTTCTTAATTCCAGCAAAGATGGAATTAAACCAAACTTGGCACACAGAACTCCCATGACCAACAGAAAACACTGGAAGGGTTTGATGGGCATTGACCTTGAGTTTTGGAGTTGTAGTTCACCTACATCCAGAGAGCACTGTGGACTCAAATATGATGGATCTGGACCAAACTTGGCACAAATACTCAATATGCCCAAAGGTGAACAGTGGTGGAGTTTGGGGAAAATAGACCTTGACATTTGGGAGTTGTAGACATTTGGGATTTATAGTTCACCTGCAATCAGAGCATTCTGAACCCCACAAACAATAGAATTGGGTTAAACTTCCCACACAGAACCCCCATGACCAACAGAAAATACTGTGGGTTGTTGTAGGTTTTTTCGGGCTATATGGCCATGTTCTAGAGGCATTCTCTCCTATATGGTCTCTAGAACATGGCCATATAGCAAAAAAAAAAAAGCCCATAAAAACCTACAACAACTCAGTGATTCCGGCCATGAAAGCCTTCGACAATACAGAAAATACTGTGTTTTCTGATGGTCTTTGGCAACCTCTCTGATACCCCCCACATGACCCCCCCTCAGGTGTTCCAACCTCCAGGTTGAGAAATACTGCTCTAAAGCCAGGATGGGGAATAATAATAATAATAAGAATAATAATAATAATAATAATAATTTTATTTCTTACCCGCCTCTCCTTGTATCTCGAAGCGGGTTACAACAGTGGTTCAGCAAACGTTGTTAGACCAGAAATTCTCATCATCCCACAACACTGGCTAGATCAGGCATGGGCAAACTTCATCCCTCCAGGTGTTTTGGACTTCAGTTATTAAAAGCCAGTAAGCTGGATGGGATACCTGGAAGTTGAAGTCCAAAACACCTGGAGGGATGAAGTTTGACCATGCCTGGGCTAGATTGTGGAGGGTTTAATGGGAGCTACAGGCCAACAAGACCCAAATGGCCAACAGCTAAACTCCCCTACTTCACCAAGTTCTGACTTCCTTACCTCCAGCCTGTGTCAGCGACTGATCTGTCGTCTGCACCGACACTGCAGTGGCGTCTCCCACCGTGGAAGCAGGGAAATACGCAAACCGTGCCTCCCCGCTGACGGTGTCTGCGGCTGGGCTCCCGCCATTGCTGAAGGGGTTCTGGATCACAGCCTGGCAAGATAACAGTGTGGAACAACAACAAGAGAGTTGAAGCCAGAGCTTTCCAAACTTTTCTTGCTGGTATTTAGCTGTTTTAATGATATACTGTAATGGTATACTGTATATATGTTTAGATGTTTTAATGATCTTCACTTTTGAGGGCCGGTATTTTCGATACTGCCCTCTGGTGGGTAAGAGGAGGAAACAACTTTGAAAACTGAAACTGACCTCCAACGGAGCCATCTTGAAAACTACTCTTCAATCTATTCTAGAAGGAGGAAGTGCTGGTGCGAGAGAAGGGAGGAAAAAACGCGCACACTGCCATAGGAAGCGAATGCTGACAGCGACAAGAAGCCACACGCCACTAACCACATCCTAGTGCGCGGCGCCTCCATGCCCCTCTATTCACCCTGGTTCAATAAAAGCAAACCACTCTGTAGAGATGAAGCAGCTTTTGAGCTGTTTTGAGGCAAAATTGATAAGCAAAATCAGCATGTGTGAATCAGTCAAAGCTAGACATGCTTTGACGGTCCACCAAGGAAGGAGGACAACCAAACACTGCGCCCTTTCACATTTTATTGAGCTCTTCCTCATTTTAATGGCCACAGATATCATCTGTGGAAATCTGAGATTCATAGCTTTGGGAGGCACCAGAACCCCAGCTGAGAATTTCAAACCTCCCTCACTAAACTGCAAATTCCAAAATTCCCTGTCAAAATGGACCATTGGAGCACAGCTGTGCTGCGTGAAAGGGTGGTTTTAGCACCAAACACCCAGAAGCCAAAGTTTCCAAAATAGAAATACTTTTAAAAACACTTTAAACATTTATCCAGCAAATAATCTGCTGTTGGAGTGGGCAAAGTGTGGCCCATGGGCTGTATGTGGCCCCCAAGAAAAGGCAAGGTCAGTTGTTTGGGAAAGCTGTGTAGGGCATGCAGTTCTGCCTTCTAAGAGAGAAAGGGGCTCAGAAGAAAAAACTGAAGGGTTCCCCTCTATCAGTCCTATTTCCTTAAGCTGGAGACTAAAGTGCAATAAGGCAATAATAAGAAACGCACTCCGCTGAGTGGAGCCAGCATGGTGTTTTGAGATAGTTCTAAACAACTGATTTTAAAGTAGATATAACAGAGTTTAGTGTTTGTGTATATTTATAGTTCTCCATTTTGTTCTCATAAGTCTCGATTTTTTTACATGTTCATGGAGGATGTGTTCCAGGACTTTGCTTAGATATGTGAAGCTGTAGGTAATAGCAAACCCTATTGAATAAATGACTTCCAATGGAAGCATACAGGAGAGATGAATTGAAGAACCTAGGAAATGCCTAAAGAGGACATACCTTTAGGCCAATGGTTCTCAACCTGTGGGTCCCCAGATGTTTTGGCCTTCAACTCCCAGAAATCCCAACAGCTGGTAAACTGGCTGGGATTTCTGGGATTTGTGGGCCAAAACACTTGGGGACCCACAGGTTGAGAACCACTGCTTTAGGCACTGCTAGGTCCTCCAGTGTGAATCTATGGTCAACTCACCTGGAGGACCTAGAAAATGTCTAGAGGTCATACTCTGTAAAAGAAACTGTGGGTAGTGGTCCCGTGGATGGAAGGACATACTTTGCCCACTGATCTGAGGTCCTGAGGAGGTTGTTCTGAAGACAGGAAGTCTAAAGAACCACAATTTCCGATGCTGACCTAAAACAAACCAACAGTTCCCAAAAAAAGCTATTTTCTGGGTCTGATCAAGACCTTTCCTCACCTGAGCAACAGCTTGCTGGCCACTTGTAAACGCTGCAGTTGAGACCACACTAACTGCCCCCGTTGCATCTGTTTGTCCATCCAGCTGACTGTCTGTCACCTGAACTACTCTGTATGTCACCTGGGAGAGAAGGCAGAAAAGATCAGAGCAGTAGTGAGATCGGAGGCAAGGAGAAGGTGCTGGACTTGGCTCCAAAGAGCTGTCAAACTCTGGTGAACTCACATGAAGACCATTCAGAGGAGCAACCTAAAAGAAGACTCTTCAGATATCTAAGCATAAGCTACAAATTAATTAATCAAAACAATCCCACAGTTGGAAGCCTCTGTATGTTAAGCTCTTGCCCCTCCTTCCAACGGATAATTCCAGAACTGGGTCTATGTCAGTAAAAGCCAAGCTTATTGAAGCAATCTCCTACCTGTCCTCCATTGTTCTCTGTGCGAAACTGATACTGGATATTATGGTCTGAGAAGGCCGCTTGCTGGACGCTAGCGATGGCCACGGCCGTCTGTTCGTCTGCATTCGTGCCATCCCCTGGGAAAGAAAGCAAGCAGGTGAGTACTCTCAAAAAGTTCAGAAGAAAACCCAAAAATTTGCATCCACCCCCAAAGCTTTTATTTTTCATGGGGAAACTAAAATAGATTGTGGAATACAGTATGACTCCCACCTCCCAAATCTACGTGACCAGTATGAGCAGTTTTGTCTATCAATTTCTGACAAAGTTTGGCCTCTCCAAAAATTTTCTAGTTCTTCCAGTTTTTGTTATTCTTTGGCCGGAAGTCCCTTCATTTCAATAGCGCAGTAGTTTCCAACCTTTTTTTGACCAGGGACCACGTGATCAGGGTACCAAAAGGGTTACAAATCAGTTTTTGGTCAACTTTAGATTTGTCTTGGGGTGCTGATTCAGAAAACTGCATTGGATAGACCACATCAGCTCTAATTTCTGATACGTCATCCAATAATCGCCATCTGCTCGCCCACAGAAAACCATATTTAATAATCTAGAGCTGATGTGGCAGTAGTAATCTTTCATCGGTAGTCAGCCTCTCCCCTCCCGACATCCCCTTTGCCTCAGCACTATAAGAGGGTTTCACGAGACCAGTCACTCCCATTGCTATGTGGTTTCAAGGCAATGGTGTAGTAATGGTGAGGCCGCGGGCCATATTTTTGTTCTTGTGGACCACTGGTTGGAGACCTGCCCATATCTATATTCATATCTCTCTATCCACCCATTTGCATCCAGTTTTCGTAAAATGCTATGGGCAGTGGTGGTGGGGGTGTCTTTAAAAAAAAAGAATTGAATTTAAATTGAGAATAATGCCTCTTAGAGGTGCAATTCTCACCCACTGCTTATAAACTTATATTTTTATGATGACATTTCAGAGGGATCACAGAGTCCTTCAGGCTTGTGGACCGTGAAATTCCCACCCTCAACTTAGGGCAGTGGCACACTTTTGAGATAATGCATCATTTTGTGACAAAATAATTCAGTTTTATTAGCAAACCAGCGGTTAAACCAACCCCTTATAAGATAAATGGACATAGAAATTGCAATAATGAAGTATATGGGACACAACACATCTCATGGAAGTTCCCTGCCTGTGGAACTCGCTCCCCAGAGAAATCAGGTCAACAACATCCCTCCTCGCCTTCAGGAGCAAATTGTAAACGTGGTTATGGGACCAGGCCTTTGGGTAGCTGGCAGATAATTGACAATGGTAATAATGATAATGTTATGGAAAATGGATTATCGACAGGCTTTGATTGTGTTGTGCTTGCTGAATTTGTATCTACATAAGGCTAGACAGTCAGTACTACTGCACTTTTTATAAATGCACTTCTTACTTTTAAACTAATTTTGAAATCAATTTACTATGTTTTTATATATATTATGGTGTGTAGTATTTTTATGTAATGGCATCTAATTGTGTCGGATGTGAGCCACCCCGAGTCCCCCCAACCCCCCAGGGGTTGAGAAGGGCGGGGTACAAATGTTTGAAATAAATAATAATAATTTTAAAAATTATATGATTTGTAAAATAAGATCCATGTCCAAGATTTTGGTCATTTCTTATGTTCATACCACCTACCTCCACACTACAGCCAACCCACTAATGTGTCACAGCACACTTTTGCAAAGCTCTGGATTTGGGGTACAATAGACTTGCAACCTCTTTGTGAGCAACAATGACCTTCCTTGCGAATAAAAATCCACCGAATGCCATCTTCAGTGTATTAATAACAAAAGGTTCCTGCTTCACATTAAATTTCAGTGATGAATGGCAAGAGCTAGATGTGTCCATTCAATCCCAATGTGCAGCGTTAATGTGTGTGCATGCGGGGACAATGGGCCATCAGAACGGAACAAAATCCACCCAAAGGGATCCAGACAGGAGCAAGCTAAGAGGACTCAGCTTTCGTTGACGCACAGAAACATCATATGCCTTACTTATTGGGTGGAGCCCTTGCTGCAGCAATACCTCCCTGCGCAGGGGTTACCAGTTGCTCACGCAGGGCGGTTGGGCATTTCTGAGCCAGCCCAGGACCCCTCCTCACCTTCCTGCAGCTCGACTCCCTCTTCACTTTCTTGTCCTTTCTCGTGGCTGGAACAGAGAGGAAAGAGAAAGACATGGGTCACCAAGAAGGTCTCTGACTAGTGCTGGTGGTGATAGCTCGGCCTCAGCAAGCCCCTGACCCAGTGGAGACAAAAAACGACCCCCTCAGACAATTTTCTTGGAAAACATGACTTCAAGGTAATTCCTATTGAAAAATGAGACACTCTTGGACTTACAATAGGTCAGTGTAGGTGAAAAATACAGCACAATGGTACCTAAGGCAATGCACAAGGGACTATGAGATCCCCATAGAATCATAGAGTTGGACGAGACCTCATGGGCAATCCAATCCAACCCCATTCTGCCAAGAAGCAGGAAAATCGCATTCAAAGCACCCCCGACAGATGGCTATCCAAGTCTCTCTTTAAAAGTTTGCAAAGAAGGAGCTTCCACCACACTCCGGGGCAGAGAGTTCCACTGCTGAACAGATCTCACAGTTAGGAAGTTCTTCCTCATGTTCAGGTGGAATCTCCTTTCTTGTAGTTTGAAGCCATTGTTTGGCATCCTAGTCTCCAGGTCAGCAGGAAACAAGTTTGCTCCCTCCTCCCTGTGACTTCCTCTCACATATTTATACATAGCTATCATATCTCCTCTTAGCCTTCGTTCTGCGTCCTAGTCTCCAGGGCAGCAGAAAACAAGCCTGCTCCGTCCTCCCTATGACTTCCACCCACATATTAATACATGGTCCGCCCCCTAACATTGCCCAATCCTGCTTTATTAAAATAATGATAATAATATAATAATAAAACTTTATTTCTAGACCACCGTCTCTCCCTGAAGAGATTCAGAGCGGTTTACACACACAGAAAGACAAGCATCCAATGCCTCAGGTGAGTACAAATGTATCAAAATAATACACAATAAAGCAACAGTGATAACAGTGAGCTTACGACAAAGAATTAAGCGTTGTGATGAAAAACAATCCAGTAAGACATAGTTAACTAAAACATAAGTAAACATAAGCAATGTCGTGATCCTTTAATACAGTTCCTCATGTTGTGATGACCCCCAATCATAACATTGTTTTCGATGCTACTTCATAACTGTAATTTTGCTACTGTTATGCATCGTAACGTAAATATCTCATATGCAGGATGTATTTTCATTCACTCAACCAAATTTGGCACAAATACCCAATACATCCAAATTTGAATAAAAGTGGGGTGATTTTGTCATTTGGGAGTTGAAGTTGCTGGGATCTATAGTTCACCTACAATCAAAGAGCATTCTGAACTCCATCAGTGATAGAATTGAACCAAACTTGACACACAGAACTCCCATGACTAACAGAAAATACTGGAAGGGTTTGGTGGGCATTGACCTTGAGTTTTAGAGTTGTAGTTCATCTGCATTCAGAGAGCACTGTAGACTCAATCAGTGATGGGATCTGGACCAAACTTGGCACAAATGCTCAATATGCCCAAATGTGAACATTGGTGGAATTGGGGGGAAATAGACCTTGACATTTGGGAATTGTAGTTGCTCAGATTTATAGTTCACCTATAATTAAAGGGCATTCTGAACCACATTAACGACTGAATTGTGCCAAACTTCCCATACAGAACCCCCATGACCAAAAGAAAAAACTGTGTTTTCAGATGGTCTTTGTCGACCCCACTGACACCCCCCCCTCACAACCCCGACCCCGACCCCCCACGGTCCTGACCCCAAGGTTGAGAAAGGCTGTATTAAGGCCTTGTTTTTTCGTAGAGAGAGACAAAAGGAGCATTGGCTCACACTACTTCCTGGTCCCCATCCAGTGTTCGACGGCATCTGCACCAATGAGGACCAGGCACTTTTTAATGGTACTTTTATTTACACTCTGAGCCTCAAACTACTCTTAGTGAAAACCCAAGGCGCTTTTATTGTATGTGCTTAGAACTATTTTATGCTATTTATGAATGTATTTTAAAGTGTTATGCAACCACAAAGCCTGCCTGAACCGGCTTTGGCCGGGTTGTAAAGGAACACATCATAAGGACCCATTAATAAACTCACACCAAGTTCTTGTCATGTGAGTTTCTGGACATGATCAGTAGGTGACTATGGGATGGTCTAGCATCTTGTTTACGAAGATTATATAAGACCTGTGTTTATTAGTTTAACTTGTCTCATCACTCTCGGATCGTGTAGCATGGGGATGGCAGCAGGCCTCTTTGACCAAAGGTTTGGGGCAACAGGGACTCCACCCACCCAAGCTATACAACTGTTTCTTTTCTAATAGATTCAGTGTTTCTATTACAGCTCCATGTGAGAAGATAGGACAGAGAAAGCTTACACCATAATCAAAGAATGGGACTCAAGGTAGTGAATGATAACATAGCCAAAGAAGGCAAATCCAATTGGGTGCATCTACACCAGTGGATCTTGACCTTTTTCTCAACCCTTTAGTACTTACTTACTTAGGCGATCCCTCATTGTCTGAGTAAGATTGTCCTCCAAGTTTGGTGTCCTGGTGGTGGGTACGTAGGTGACTGTGGAGCCCTATTCTTGATCTGCATGTTCTCCCACAGGGAGGGCATCGGATTCCAGGTGGAAGGTGGTCCCGGTCAGGGTTGGCTTCCTCTCTCTTTCGCCCTCTAATCATGTCTCTTCAAATTCTACAGCACTGCTGGTCACAGCCGACCTCCAGCTGGAGCGCTCAAGGGCCAGGGCTTCCCAGTTCTCTGTGTCTATGCCAGTTTTTAAGGTTGGCTTTGAGCCCATCTTTAAATCTTTTTCCTGTCCACCAAGATTCCGTTTTCCATTCTTGAATTCGGAGTAGAGCAACTGCTTTGGGAGACGGTGATCAGACATTCGGACAATGTGGCCGGTCCAGCAGAGTTGATGGTGGAGTACCATCGCATCAATGCTGGTGATCTTTGCTTCTTCCAGTATGCTGACATTTGTCCGCCTGTCTTCCCAAGAGATTTGCAGGATTTTCCAGAGGCAACGCAGATGGAATCATTCCAGGAGTTACATGTGACATCTGTAGACAGTCCACGTTTCGCAGGCATATAGCAGGGTTGGGAGGACAATAGCTTTGTAAACAAGCACCTTGGTCTCCCTACTGATGTCCCGGTCCTCAAACACTCTGTGCTTCATTCAGAAAAATGCTGCACTCTCAGAGCTCAGGTGGTGTTGTATTTCAGTGTCAATGTTGACTTTTGTGGAGAGATGGCTGCCAAGGTAGCGGAAATGGTCAACATTTTCTAATGTTACACCATTAAGCTGTATTTCTGGCATTGCAGATGGGTTGGTTGGTGACTACCGGAAGAGCACTTCGGCCTTTAGTACCAAAAGGGTTAAGCATCAGTGTTTGGTTAATTTTAGATTTGGTTTGGTTATTTGGGGTTTTGATTCAGAAAATTGCATTGGATAGACCATATCAGCTCTACTTTCTGATACAGAACATATGCCATCCAGTAGTCGCCATCTGCTCGCCCACAGAAAACCATATTTAATAAGCCTCAGGGTTTTGGAGAGGCCAGTGGCTCTTGTTGCAACAGTATAGTAACAGTGAGATCGCCAACCATATTTTAGTTCTTGCGGACCACTGCCCATCCACAGACCACAGGTTGGGAACCACTGATCTACACTGTAGAAGTAATGCAGCTTGATGCCTAGTGAATTTCCAAAGCTCTATGCTATGGAATTTTGAGATTTGTAATTTGTTTAGGCACCAGCGATTTGTCAGAGAAAGCTAAAGATGTTGTAAAATTACAACTCCTATGATTCCATAGCAGTTAAAGTGAGGATGAGTAAAAATCAAAACACATGCATTTTTAAAAAAAAGCAAAAACAGTACACTGAGCCAATATTCTTTATGCAGGTGACACAATTCCGTTCATGATACAGAATTTGGCTCCAGGCCCCAAATGGATCATTATTCCCCACTGTTTCTCTCACAGAATTCACACCCCTAGCTTTGTCTCCTGCTATGTCTCTCCTCCACTTGCATCTGTCTCTCCTCCACTACGTGCCATAACAATGCCCTGCTTCGTACTTTCTTCCTGGATAACTGACCCAAGCCTTTCTGAAAGGAAGAGATTCCAGCGCTGATGTCTGCCACAAGGTTAATATCCTCTTGCCTTCACAAGGAAGCCCCCAGCCTTCTGCGTAAAGCCGACTTCGGAGCTGGAAGGCATTCAGTTACTTTAATCCATTGCACTGGCAAAGGAAGATAAGGCTGCTATCTTGACAGGATGTTGGTGCAGAGATGAAGAGCAAGTGCTTGCCGCACCGAAAGGGAAGCAAAAGGGGAGAAAGAACTGCAGCGAACAATAACATTCAAGGCCCTAAACAGCTTGAAACTTCAAAACTTGGAGAATTTTCCCTATACAGTTGGCCCACCACATCTGCTGAGACCTCCATGAAAGTGTAAAATAAACATTACTGTTTTTGTTAACTGAGAGAGCAACCCTCTAGGAATTACTAGGTCCTACTGTATGACCATGGTCAACGTCTCCTGGAATCTCAACCAAGAATCGTATTGAAAGATCTAGAGATTCCTAGAGAGCTGTTCCTGTGAACAGAAAAAGTTGATTACACAATCACTCTGGTGAACAACCTAGAGCAGTAGTTCTCAACCTATGGGTCCCCAGGTGTTTTGGCCTACAACTCCCAGAAATCCCAGCCAGTTTACCAGCTGTTAAGATTTCTGGGAGTTGAAGGCCAAAACATCTGGAGATCCACAGGTTGAGAACTACTGACCTAGAGATTCCTAAAGAGAACATGTTAATCAAATCCTTGAAACCCACAAAAGTCAAAAACACAAATATGGAGGGATAGTTATAGATGCCTTGCAGAGCATTGATACCTACCAAAGGTGTACTCTTCTGTGTCCTAGAAGTGGAGGCAATATAATGGAAAGGAACACATGAAGGGTGGTTTGTTTGTTTTTTTTTGGGGGGGGGGGGCTGTGGCTCCTTGAATAGGAAAAGCCCTTCCCTTTGAGCTCTGATTGTTGTCCACACCGATTACTTTTCAACCCCAGGATTTTTATGGAA